CCCTAACCCTAACCCTAACCCTAACCCTAACCCTAACCCTAACCCTAACCCTAACCCTAGCCCTAGCCCTAACCCTAACCCTAACCCATGCTGGCTGGGGAATTCTGGGAGTTGAAGTCCACTCATCTTAAAGTGGCCAAGTTTGGACAACACTGGCCTAGATGCATAACACCCAAACTCCTAGAAGGACTTACCACTTATGAGCAGATCGCCTATAGACATAGACTTTGTACGGACAAGTATAACGAAATACAGGACTCATTTACACAAAATACAGTAGGTTAAAAAAAAAAACCCATGATAATCATATTATCTATTAGAAATATATACGTACATGAATAATATTTGCATTAGATAAGCATACATAGAATTGTAATTATTGTCCTAATGACGTATTAACACTTCTTTTCCCCCTCTTTGTTGTATTTCTTTCACTTTTTTTGTTAAAGCGCTTTCTAGGTGTGTTATTTTTCCTTCTTTTTATAATTAAAAATTTTAAATTAAAAAACAACAACAACAAAACCCAGAAGAAGACGGGCAGGAAGCAGCAGGTATGAGTCACGGGAAGATGCAGTTGTCAGTGACTCAGGACGTCTGAGTCAGAACAAGGTTCCTTTCCTTCTGGTGACTCAGAGCCAACATGGAGCCCTCCTTGCTGGCAACCCTGTTGAGGAATCAAGAACGAGGAGCCGTGCTGGCTGGGGAAATGATATTACACCGGGAGCATTGGGGGGCGGGGGACAGGGGGAACTCCCTTCCGTTCTGTCAAGGAATTTCTTGGTCATAGTTTCGCTCAACATCCTCATCGCTGCCGTCCCACCTTTAAAAAGAAATGTGGTAGGTGGGAAGAGTTCCTGGTTGGCTAGCTTGCTACAGGGATGCCCCCTCCCCGAGGGGTTGCTGAATCAAAACTCCCAGCCCTTATCCTGGAGGGTGCTGGGAATTGTAGTGCAGTTGTAGTGGAGGGGGGATCAGCTTCTGTTCTGCAAGGAAAATTTATAGGTATACATCTGCTGTATCATAGATGAGGATTGCAGGGAAGGAATAATTAGGGAGGCCTTCATTGATTGGTGTTCACTGACCAAGACTGGAAACAAGAACCTTCTGGTATGCAGCTCGCTGGGACTTTCTGCCTGTACTAACCATGGCATAATCATATCCAAGAAACACTCTTCTCTTTAACCCCACGATGTGGCCTTCATCTCATTCCCAGCTTATGATGAGACAGGTTGAAGTTGTCCTGAGCTGGTCTCTGGTCTTGCTGACTTCCTTCCTTCCTTCCTTCCTTCCTTCCTTCCTTCCTTCCTTCCTTCCTATTTT